GCTGAAAGATCCCCTGAGTTATTCATATTTCTTCTTTTCGCAACTTTATCCGCTCTTTCATTGAACCCTATACCCTTATGGCCAGGAACCCAGATGACTGTGAGGTGATGGAAGGTCTTAATCCGCTCGAAGAGCTTAAGGATGAGACAGTTGGATCTCCTATTAACACAGCTCAACGCGCTGACTACAAATTTGCTATCTGTAAGAATAGCAACCTTATCGTTAGGATTCAGTTTCTCAAGAAGCTTACAAAGGGCCCAAACCTAAGCTGAAAAGATGGAGCTTCTATTGTCTATGCACTGACTGACAATCACAGCGGTACGATCTACAGCCGCAATACCAACTCCTGTATCAGACTTGGAAGCGTCTGTAGCGTAGATCTTACAACCTTGTTCACGTAATCATTAATGATGCACGCGGAAAAATTGCTATATCTCCACATCTGAAAGATTTTTGTTCTGGAACTCATTAATTTTGAAACAACACTTAACTTCTTCAGAAAAATCTAGTTCATTGTTAAAAGTAATACACTTACTGAAATCCAGATCAAGATTGCTTAGCTTGTCTTTAACACACTGGCTAATGGGCTTATGTATTTTGCTCCACATGTACTTGCATCTTTGCAAACAATTTTTCAGACTCTCCGAAATGGGAGAGGCTGCTGACAGAGCAATATTCTTTATTAGGAACTTAATCGCAGTGATGCATCTTCTCGTATCTAAGGTGAAAACCCCTGCTTCAACATATAACGAGAGAGGGGTGCTGATAAGCCCCCCTATACCCAGTCTTAAGGCGTAATTATAAACAATTTCAAGCTTTTTCTTATTTTGTTGAGAGGTAGACATGAGGAGACAGCTGCCATATTCTATTCTTCCTCTTATTGTAGCATTTGCAATATTAATGAGATCCACATTTTTGGCTCACCACCTGGGGCTCCCGATGAATTTAAATACATTCAGCATTCTTTCCAGTTTCGGTACTATTATATTTATATGGACGTTCCAGCTCAGTTTACTATCAAACCACATGCCTAGAATTTCAATGTGGTCTTCCGTAGGGATGCTAACACCATCAAGCTTCAGTAGATTCTTTGTCCCACCGAAAATAATCGATTTACTTTTCTCTGGAGAAATGCATAAGTTCCACTCTTTAGCCCATTTATGCACTTTAAACAGTGCACGCTGCAAATTACTGACTACCCCTGGGGAACGAGACATCTGCACTGTAGAGGAATATGTCGTCCGCATACACGTAGCAGTCGACATCAGCCGGGATAATTTCATAGATATCGTGCATGAAGATTGTGAAGAAAATAGGAGACAAAATGCGGCGCTGAGGGACACCGCTGGTAAGTTCATAGCGTCTTGAAAGGGCCCCTCTCCACTTAACTTTGATTGTTCTCTGGTTCAAGAAATTAGCAGTCCACCGGATACTATTCCCTTTAACACCGAATTGCATTATTTTATAGAGCAGCCATCATGCCATACTGAATCAAATGCAGCTTTGAGATCAAGGGCCACCAGCTGAACAACTTTCCTTTGCTTCCTGTGATGCAGGATGCTACTGAACAATTTATTAAAAGGACCAGGCAACTTCTATTCGGAATAAAGCCGTAATGCATGTTAGAGAGTCTTTTACTTTTCTGGATCCTCGGAAGTAATCTATTGAGAATCATCCTTTCCATTACTTTGGCAAGAATTTGCGTTAAAGAAATTGGTCTGTAACTGGAAACCAGCGCACTGTCGCCCTCAGGTTTCAAAAAAGGAATAACAATAGCTTCTTTCCGATTCTCAGGGATCAGACCTGAATTCCATGAATTGCTGCAGGCCTCAAGGAGCGCTTGCTTGCAATCATCAGGTAAAACTGTAATAGCATATCTTGTAAGGTCATCTTATCCCGGAGCAGAGTTTTGAGGCTCCTGATAGCTTTATCGAGTTCTGAACCTGAGAAGGGGTTATTAATACGGCTACTCTCTTCGTCACTAAAATCCAGGGGAATGAACTTTTGAATAGTGAATCTTTAATAGTACTTAGCAAATACTACACTCTGCTCTTCAGCTGACCAGGTGTGGCCATTCTGATACTTTAAGATATTGTTCGAGAACTGGACCTGACTTTTTTATTTTGAATACTTTTAACTATCCTAAATAAATTGCCATCCTTTCTGGTATGACTAAGATTTTTTTTTCCCAATACAGCCTTCTCTTGATTTTAATGACCCTCTTAAGGTAAGCATTCCATTTCTTGTAAGAGATCCAGTAACCTCTTGAAAAATGAATTTTAGCGTGTCTAAGACATTTCCTTTTCTGGCCAAGAATGAAGTTACATTCTGTATCCCACCACGGGCTGTTTTTGCGTTGAATCGCAATTTTTTTTTAGGTTCTCTTTTTTCGTGGCACTCAAGATGCGGTTAATATTTCCCAGGTTCCTTCTTCTGGGTACAAAGCCCTGATTCTGTTACTGCTTTCTGTAGCGAACTTTATCCGCTCTTTTGTCACAGTGAGCAATTATTCTCCGATTGCCAGCAGCAGAGGCGTTGTTATCATTTGTGAACTTAATTTTTATAGGGTAGTGGTTATTGCTAAAGGGATCAGGAGAAACTTCCCATTTCAATTGACCATAAAGCTCGGCTGAGCACAAAGCGATGTCAATGCAGGATTCAATGCCTCCGGGACTTACATGGGTGAGCTTCCCTGTGTTTAAAATGCAAAGGTTGTTGTTGTTACACCACTCCAAAAGCACTCACCCCCTGCTCATAGCCTGCTTGACCCCCAAGCCGGGTTGTGACAGTTGAAGTCTCCTAAGATAATAAACTTGCCGGGTAACGTAGCCAGAACTGTATCCCACTCTTTCACGCTGAACTGGCCGTTGGGAAGGTAGACGTTGACCACTGAAATATCGGAACTATTTGCACGAAGATCAACTTTCATAATTTCTCATCCCGCTAAATCATAACTGCTATCTTGTACAAGTAAACTTGCCCATTGTCTTGATGGCAAACATTAGACCCCCGCCTTGGTAGGAGCTTAATCTATCTTTGCGAAAAATAACTTTATAGGTAAGCAAAAAATCGTCTAAATTAGAAAGCCAGGTCTCTTGGATAATTAAAACATCACAGAAAAATTCTTTCCTGCTAATGATAAAGTTTCTTTTGTTAGAGATGCTTCTTGCATTCCATGAACAAAATGTAGGTCCCATCGAACTAGATGAGAAAAAGAAGCAAAGAGAGAAGCAGGAGAAAAAAAGCTCATTTTATGAATAAAATCACAGTTTGTAACCTTGGCCAGAATTTTTTGGTTTACTCATGTCATACTTGCTTTGAATACAGGCTTCCCTTGTTATAGGTTCTGATTTAAAATGGAATTTCTTGCCCTTGCTTCTTATTACATTTATTTCCTTAATATGCTCATCCAAGTTCCGGTCGCTGTCGGACTCAAGAGCTCTTTTCCCAATATGCTTATATCTAGTGCATTCTGATATCTCGCTCAACTTTGTATCGAGCTTGTTGAACATGCTTTCATACTTTTGATCCAACCCTGCTAAGATTTTTTCGAAATAGTCAGCCTGCTGTTTTAACGCACTTTCAAAAGATCCTTGCAACGCAGCTATTACTGGAGTCATGACTTTCAGGAAATCTTCCTTTGCAGGAGTTGACACCTGAGTTCCTGTCACCTTCGCATAAAAATTTCTGTCTGCAACAGCCTGCCTTGCTTATACTACGGGAACATGATGGTCAGCACTATATTTGAGAATATTGCCCTCTTCGATGTATTTGGGACAATTCTTGGAGGATGCTTCATGCGAGTTGCTGCACAACGCGCACTTGATCTGTACACTCTGGCACTGTGCCCTGGTGTGATTTTCGCTACATCTTACTAATCCTCTACAGCTTTTAATCCCGTGACCAAACCTCAGACATTGAGGACATTGCCTTGGATTATCGTAGAACCTTGTAATCCAATGTCTTGTCAGCCATACTTTTACATATTCTGGCAAGTGGTGTCCTGCAATAGTAACGAGTACTCTTTCTGAGGGTTTCTTGTTACTGTCTGAACTTTTGATCATAAATCTTCTTAAATTCAATACTTCAATCTTGTTATTATGATTCAGCTCATTAGCTAGCTCCGAGAGCTCGACTTCTACTGGAATAGCCGATAAAAGAAATTTGCTTGTCAGTTCAGTCATGGCAAGCATCGGGGAGACCTTTACGTTATGAAATTCAGATATGTTTAATATTTGCCACGCATATTCTGCCACTGAGGTATTTATCAGAAGCCTTCCATCTCTTATTAATGAAGTCAATATTTTTAACTAAAGCCACTTTGCTGGATATTTCATCTTTCAAAATTTTAGGATTGCTTACGTTAATATTTTTCTCTATTCCTTTAAGAAAGACAGTGTAATTTCTTACTCTTTTTTCATGATAAATTTTTAATAGATGTTCTGACGATATGAGCGGTTTATACTGAAAGTCCGGGCTAGACCCGTTCACAGAGCTCCATTCCATCTTTCTTCATCACAATTTGCGTCTGAGCGCAAATAAAAAGGAAATTTCTCCGACCTGTATCTTCTCTGTGAACACCAAACCAGGAGAACAAAATCTGTTTTTAGCTTTACTTAAAGCGCAAACTAATCACCACAATACGGGAAGAAAACCCGCACTTTAACACGTAGCGCTTCGCCGAAGTAAATAAACGTGAGTCGAAGAATTCACTACACAGCTTCGCGTCCTTCGACCAAAACAAACACAGTTTCAAGGCCGGCAAACGCTTCACTAGCTGATAGTCTCGTGTGTGTTTCAACTTCCACATTAAGGGCCCTAATCTGGACACAGTCGAGATGGAAGAACGGGTCGTTTTTTGCGATCTGCTCGACAAAAAGCGAGTCTCATGTCATCCTCTCGATCATTACAGAGATTACACGATCATTACACGTCGGAAACTTTTCCGTCAGCTGGGTATCTGCCGTTTAACTTTCTGTCGTTTTAGAGCTAAATTCAAGATGGCGGAGCTCACGGATACTTTTTTGGAAGTGTCTTTAATCGATATTTTAATTTTTCAAGATTTGCGAAAAACTCGAATATTTCGAGACAGAAAGAACGCTTTTGATCCTGACGATTCCACTTTTATTGCATTATTTCGAGTTACCAAACCTATAACATGGGCCCGTATAAATGAATTAAGGCCATGCTTTACTCGAACATCGACGTCAAAGACAGCAATAACTCCTGAATTAACGATAAGGAATAATTCATTAGTTTTCATATTTGTATGGTATAGGCGTCTGGCTATTCATCTATCAAATAAGCAATTCCTTAATTTAATTTTAGTGAAAATATTTGTATTTTCCTGTTTCACATATAAAGTAAGAGTGCATACCTAAAATGTGATTTTTAAACTAAAGTCTATATTAATGTACTTAATTTTTATTTTTTGATGAGTAATTTTGAAATTTTATGTTTTAAATTACTATGTGTTTCTTTCCACTTTTATTTTAATTTGTAGTGTATAAAAATGTAATATATTAACGAATGCATTAAAGAATATACATTATATATTCAAATTAAACACATCCTATATTCAACTTTCATATTAAATTGCTTTGAGTTAAAAAAGTGTATTTAAGTAGTTTTAATTATACCAATATGAATGTCAATTTCCAGTAGTTTTCAGAATCTCCTGTACAATTCAAGTTAAATTACATTCTTGTAAATATAATGCATGATTTATAATTAGCTACCAGATTTATTACATGGTCTACTTTTAGATATTATTTCAGTTTTGTGCACTTTTTATTCAGATTTAAAAAGGATATAAATAGAAATATGTATTACATTTCCTTTCACTGCATATGTCAAAATATTTATACGTATTACAGTTTTACACATGTATTTATTTAAAACAGGTTTTGTGTGCCTTAAACTTTTATGCTTCAGGAAGTTACCAGAGATATGCTGGTAATGAGAGATATATTGGGCTGAGTCAGAAATCTGTCATTTGGTGTATTCAAGAAGTCACAGATGCTATTTGTTCTTTTCAACAAATGGATTAAATTTCCAATAAATAGTTTTCAACAAAACAAAATCAAATTGGGATTTTATCAAAAGGCTTGGATTTCCTGGTGTCATTGGCGCTGTAGATGGTATCCACGTAGCTATAGTTGCACCAAAAGACACAGAAGAGTGCCAAAGGTTCATTTATATAAACAGAAAATCATTCCATTCGCTGAATGTGCAGTTGGTATGCAACTTTTCCTTCCATTTTATATAATATATATATATATGTAATGTTTTAAGTTATTCCAACACATCGTTGGCGAATGGTGAGGCTATTCCATTACACGTTCTGGCAGATGGTTAACGAAGCTGGGGTGATTGAAACACGGAGAAAAATGACGACTCAGGACTTTTCACTTTTAACAGCAAGCATATCTTTATTTTAATTTATAGCAGATGACTTTTTCCAGATGAAGTTAATCAAATAACTTATTCAGTAATTGAACTATTAGATACGACTGACTTTAAACTTTAATACGTCATAACGTTCTAACAAAGAAAGAGGAGCATAGCGGAAGCGTTAGCAGGACGAAGGCGAGAAGGCATCTGTCTAGGAGAACTTATGACTCAGCATTTATATGAATGGTTATGTAATAGGCGTGAATGTTCTAGCAGGTACTGGGTTAGGGGACGATCCTGAATTGCAGAAAATTAATTAAAGGTTGCTGGTTCGCAAAGAGCAAAGCCATCGTATTTTTTTTTTTTTTATTTTACATCTTCCCCCCCCCCGTCAAAAAGAGGCCGGGGTGAGAAAAGCATTAGTACAGGAGTGAAGCAAAAGTATGAGAAAAGACATGAAAACATCCAGAACATAGCGTACAAGCTTTAACTATGGCCTATCATAGTTCATGACTTTCTCATATAAAATTTTGACTTTATAGCATATGAAATTTTGAACATTAAAACAATGAGTTATAAATAAATATACAATATATGACTAATTTTAAGACTATAACATAATAAATATGGAATACTGATAAATAAATAAGTTATAATTACAAAAGTCCTCAATTTTGTTAAAAATGTCCATTTTTCATAAAAAGAGTTCGAATAGAATGAAACTATCTGGTAAAATCTCTAAATGCCAGATAGTCCACAAATATGATGCATGTTGATAGTTCACAAATATGATGCATTTTTTCCTCTCATCGTAAAGATTGACATGTTTTACACTTCAATACAAAATATTATACTTATTCAAAAAAAATTCAATATAAATAATACAATTATACACTAGAACATGAACACTTTTTGACTTTAAAACTATGGCATGTCCTCGCCAACAGATCAGCGTGATTACTTGCTGATGGTTGGGGGGTGCTAGGTACAAATATCGAAAAACCTCCGTTGCCTAATAGAAGGTAACTGGTTTTTGGCATTGTACATTACCTCAAAGTGGTTTTAGAAAAATAAAAGATCATATAAAATCAAAATTATAAGACGGATAACTTGTATAATCAAGTTAAAGTCTTTTTTATAATGTTGTAAATTAGAAACAAATATTATCCTACAATAAGAAGAAAATTTTTGCTACAAAATAATTCAAATTATGTGAAAGATATAAAAGGTCAAGATCGGGAGAATAATTTGTCATAGTCGGGAAAATAACTTGTCATAGTTAGGGTTTAAGTCTAAATCAGGTATTAAAAGTCATAATCAGGAAAATGTTTAAAAGAGAATTTTTAAAAAATTAATTTTAATTTTGAACAGAGATAGGAATTCTACTATTTCTGACAGTTAACTTAAACTCACTTGCTGGATTAAAAGGTCTTAATCTAGTTGAATGAACAATTTCTGATTTCTTTTTAGTTAAAGGATTAGGTTTATCTATTTCATAAGTAACTTCAGAATATTGTTTTAAAATTTTATAAGGTCCTGAGAATGGAGGAGATAATTTACGTGTATTAGGGTATTGAAATTCTTCATACATTACTAAATCACCAATTTTAAAATTACTAGGTTTAAAATGAATATCATATCTTTCTTTATTTACATTATGATAATCATCAGATCTCTTTTGAGCTATTTTTCTGGCTTCTTCTATTGACGGATACAATTCTTGATTTTGAATTAAGGAATCATAAGGTAATTTTCCATACATTAAATATGATGGAGGGAATTTTGTTACAGAATGAGGGGTATTATTATACTCTTCAGTTACTTGGGGTAATAATTTTGTCCATGCTATATTACCGTGATAAGAATTTAGTTTGCATTTTAATCTAGTTATAATAGTTTGATTAACACGTTCAATTTTACCATTAGTTTGGGGTCTATTTGCAGTAGTTAGCAATTGTTTTACATTATGATTCCTTAAAAAGTGCTTAAATTTTGAAGATGTAAAAGCAGCGTTCCTATCACTTAAAATCTTTTTAGGGACCTGAATTTGGAAAATTTGTTTTAAGCAATTTATATAAGTATCTGTAGTTACACTTTTGGAAGCAAAAGTCCAGATATATCTAGTTGCATGATCAATAATTATGTGAATATACTTTTTAGTAGAATTATAATAATTTAAACCACCTACAGTATCAATAGATAATATTTCAAAAGGTTCACTAACTGATGGTAAATTTTGCATTAAACCAAATTTCTTTTGTTTACTTTTCTTATTAAACTGACATACTTCACAATGTTTACAATAATTTCTAACATCTTGAACAATTCCTGGCCAATAATATTGTGGAGATAACAAATTTAGCATAGATGATACACCAATATGACCAAATTGTATATGGGCCTTTTCAAGTAATTTCGTACGTAGAGACATGGGTATCACAATTTTGTACAATCCCTGTTTTTTAATAGTTAAGACATCATTCATTTTCCTATACTTAGTATTACAAACATTATCTAAATTTTGATATTCTTTTATTTCTTCTAATGATAATAAATTAACTTGCAATCTTAAATGTTGACACATAGGATTTCTAGAGAGCATGTCAGCTTCAACATTAGTAGATCCTTTTTTATATTTTATATCAAAATCATACATAGATAATTTTAAAGACCACCTAAATAGACGACCAGTAGGGTGTTTTATATTTTTAAGCCAAACTAAAGCAGCATGATCAGTATGTACAGTAAAATGGTTACCATGTAAATAATAATAAAATTTATCAATTGCATCAATAATAGATAAACATTCCAGCTCAGTAATGGCATAATTTTGTTCATAAGATCTTAATTTTCTAGAATGAAAAGCAATTGGATGTAAACTACCATCAGGATGTTCTTGTTTTAAAACAGCACCAACAGCTTCTTTGGACGCATCAACAAATACATGACAGGGATATTTAGGATTAAACAAAGTTAAAATAGGTCTAGAAATCAATGCATCTTTTAATTTTTGAAAAGCTTTTTGACATTCATCAGTCCAATTATAAGGAGTATCTTTCTTAAGTAAATTTGTTAATGGGGCTCTAATTTTAGCATAATTTTGAATAAATTTATGATAAACATTAATACTTCCTAAAAATCTTTGTAATTCTTTGATATTTTTAGGGGGTTGCAATTTCTTAATAACCTCTATATTTGCATTACTGGGCTGGTATTTACCTGCTTGAATTTCATATCCTAGAAAATTTATTTTTTCTTTAGCAAAATTACATTTAGATTGTTTTAATTTTATATTCTCTTTCTCACATATATCAAATATTATTTTAAGATGATTTAAATGTTCATCAAAATTTGGAGAGAATACTATAATATCATCAAAATAATTTAAAGCAAATTGAATCTGATATTTGTTTAAAATTTGTCTAAGAGCTCGTTGGAAAACAGCTGGGGAATTTTTCCAACCAAAAGGTAATCTAGTAAACTCATACAGTCCAAAATTTGTAGTGAATGCCAATTTTTCAGTATCCTTTTCATTTAATTTTATATGCCAATAGCCTGATGCCAAATCCAATGTAGAAAAGATTTTTGCATTTGTTAATTGATCTAATACAGCATCAATTCTAGGAATAGGTTCAGAATCAGTTTTAGTAATTTGGTTAAGCTTCCTGAAATCAATACACAATCTGCTTCTGGACTGCTCGTCTCGCTTATAAGCTAAAGTTACAGGAGCAGCATAAGGACTATAAGAAGGTTTAATAATTCCAGCTTTTAACAATTCATCTATTTGTTTTTTAATTTCACTATTATCTTTAGGAGATGCTCTATATGGTCTATAGGCTATTGGTAATTCAGAAGTTAATATAACTCTGGGAGGTTCAACCCTTATACAACCAACATCATATTTACTTTTTGCAAATATATGGTTATAATCATTCAACAATTTCTGTAATTTACTATCAGAATTTTTACTATTTTCAAAATAATTACCACAATTTTTAGAACTAAGATCATTTTTACATACAAAATTTTCGCTATTATCAAAATATTTACTAGATTGTTCAGCACTGATATCATTTTTACATACATAATTATTTTGGAAAAACTTGTCTACTTTAACATTTTTACTTACCTGTTTTCCAAGCTGATACACTTCATAATTATGAAAATTCAATTGTAATTTAAATAATGAAACACATGGTGATGAAAGCAATAAATAATTCAAATTTGAATCTACTACATAAAATATCACATTATTTTCTATTTTACCTACTTTACACTTTACTTTGATTATTTTCTCTATATGAACTTGACTAGATATTGAAAATATTTTATCATGAGATTTCAATGAAATTTCTCTAAATTTATCACCAATTTTGTTAAAATATTTTAACGGTAAAACGTTAATTTGCGATCCCGTATCAATAATACTGGGAATTTTTTCCTGTCCAATTTGGACATTCACTTTAAAGTAATATTTTTTAACTTCTCTTTTAGGAACCGTGTTATAATTAATAGCAGGTAATTGTGGATATCGAATTGGCCGATACGCATACTGTAGAGGTCGGTATTGCACTTGTTGATAATTAAAAGGTCTCACACTACGAAAACTTTGATAAGGAGTGGCTTGCACTGGTCTGGGATAATAGCACCTCGGAACAGTTTGCCTTGGAGAAACAAATTGGTAATTACTATTTCCTAGACCATCCAACGGCATCTGAACTGGAAACAGTTTCCTAGCAAGAGTAATCCAGTCTTTCGGTGTGTCTATTTTTTGCACTGTTAACAGCATTCTTTGAGACTCAGGAAGTCCTTCCGTAAGTGCTTCCACCATTGTGGAATCTGTTAGTTTCAAGCTGGCTCCTAATTTCAACTTATTACGAAAATAAACATCAATATTATTAAATTTCTCGTATTTTAAAGACAC